AGAAAAATTATTGCTTGGCATTGAATTTCAATTTTAGTGCACAAATAGAAAGAAAGAGAGAAGTGTGGATAGTGAAGAGTTTTAAAGAAAAGGAATAAAATCATCAAAGTTGACAGAATAGAGGAATGAAAATGATTAAGAAAGAAGCAAGAAAACTTCATCCAATGCCTTCTCCGGTTACTCCATAAAATTGCTTGAGGGGATAAAACTACAACTCAAATTTAGACTATCCCTTCCAACTCACACTTTATCATATTATTTTTGGAGTATGAGAATACAAATAATATGGCAATATCTGCGGCCAGTATTCCTAAATTCTATTCTCTTAATTTTTCTTTAAAGCTTATTTTTTATCGCAGCTGTAGGACAACAACATAAATCACTTCTTCGCTATTACTTTTTACGTTAAGTGCACAATCTTTTAAAAATGAAATTCTCACTAAAATATTTTTGAGTTTATCGGAACAATGCGATGAACGGACGACTTTTTGATTGATGAGATTTGAGGAAAGAAGTGAAAAAAGTATATATTTCAACAGAAAAGAAGAATGAGATTGCACACTGATAATGAAAGGTTGGAATTCAATTCCATCGGATATGAAAAACCAACGAAATTGCTTCAATGTATTCTATCACTTTAACATTAAATATAAAAGTAATGAGATGATGTGACAAGAATTGAGTGTAAAAAGAAGATCCATTTTCGAATCACTGATGAACCGATAGCTGTCATTAATTAGAGTAAAAAAAGTGAAATTTATGAACTCATCATTACTGCTCTGTAAATGAATTTAACTTGTTATTGAGGAACTGATTGAAAAAGACCGTAACAAATTGGAACTAAAACTATTGGATGAAATATGCTGCTACTCTCTTCAATTCTCTTGTTTAATGATGCAACACTGCTTCCTCCATGCTTTTTCTTTTCATATCAAAGTCCATTTGTCCACTTTGCGTGTTTCTTTCTGTATCAAAATGAACCGTGCTTCAGACGAGCAATGAAGTATGGATGACACGATTTAATCTGTACATTTTGCACCGTATGACTATCCTCTTTTCCACTTATAATTTTCAACAAAAATAAGTAAGTGCAGGCGCTACTTATATAATGAAATGTGTACAGAGAAGAGATCAGTTGCTATGCAAAACGCCGATCAGAATTCATTTAGCTTTTAAATCAAATTCTAATCTAGAAGTCATTTCTAAATTTAGGCTGTTGTAAATAACTATTTCTCTTCATCGGGATAAGAAATATGCAGTGCAAATTGAGTGATGCGCCGATCTCTTTAAATGGAAGCTTAATAGAATCACAAAAGCTGATTGAAAAATAGCAGCACTTACTAAATAATAAAATTGTTTGACTCAACTCTTTTGCTTCTTTTCAAAACTTTGCCAAATTCCAGACACAAATAAATTGCAATTCATTAAGTGCAAGACAGAAAATATATTCTGCAAAATGGAAAATAAAAAACGATGAATGGTAAGCTGTTATGATATGTTAGAATAGCACTGATGAATTGTTGACTTTAATCGCCTCCTATCAGGCAAATTGGTCCTTTGATATTTGCCGGCGTAATATGTCCCTTCTACTTAAACTGACTCTGACATCATTTATGCATTAACAAGAACCAATGTTTTATATGTTTATTTAAAAAAAACATGTAAATATTATTTTAAAAAAACAAGTAAATATCGAATTTAATCGATGATAACATTTTATGATGGCTCAAAACTAAGAAAATTCCTTATACACAAGGAATTCTCTTTTTTTTAGAAACGACAAACGTTAAGTAATCACCTGCCACTGTACATCTTTCAAACAAGCCTCCGACTCAAAAATGAAATGTTCTCGTCAATCCGTCTTGCAATGAGAAATCGAATTTTAATATGCTGAATTATAATCAGTCAAGTTTTCAAGACGCATTGAGCACAAGTAATCTGATTTCTAAAAAAAATTATTTAGATCTCGTGTAATCTGTGAATTATTCTTTTTCCCGTGCTATTTTTATTTTTACCATTTCACTGTTCTCACAACACAGAGGTTTGAAAAGAGTGAGTACGGTTTTAAACCAAGGACAAATGGCGATCCACTCATTCATTAGTGGAACGTTGCAGACAAATAATCCTTTACCCCTCTCGTCCCGCCATCGGAAGAGAATGTATTTATTGTAGTGTAACAAAAATATTCTTTTCCCAAAAAAAAAAAAAAAAATGACCAAAGTTCTGAAAGAAATGCCTGAATAAATGAATATATCTCGAAATACGTGTACAGAGGATAATCGGAGAGGGAGAGACTGTTGGATGAAAACAGTGGACAAAATGTTCCACTGATAATCTGCTATTGTGCTATATTCTATCGTCGATTACATCAATCATCTCACCGCCATCTTGCACAGTTATCGCTAGGAGAGAGTTAAAAATTAGTTCGAAGCTGGTTGGTAGAACATGCAAAAATTGATGAGGGAGAGAGGATAGGAGATGAACGATTGCTACAGCCACTTCCGACCGTTCCCCCATTGCTCCATTTCTCCAAAATCTTCCAATAGTACTCCCTCTATGCCTCCTACTTCAAACGTTCTATTTTCCACCACTTCCTCCTCCTCCTCCTCCTTCTCGATCATCGTCCCATCGCCGTCGCCGTCGCCGTCGCCGTGCCGTCGCTATCGCTGTTGTTGTTGTTGTCATCATCGCCATCGCGCCAACTCGTCATTGCTCTCTTTAATAATGGAATGTCGCATCGTCGCTCTCGTTTCTGCCTCTCGTAATTGACTTGCTCGGCTGCTTGCAAGCAAGTCTCCTGCGTTATTTCCGTTTTTGCATTGCAGACAGCTCTTCTTTTTTCATACCATTCTCTTTTCTCTTCTCTCCACTTCCTCGCCTCTTTCTTCATCTCATTCATCCAATCAAATGAAGACCTCACATGTGCGCACGCGTCCGTGAACAGTGATTGTGCTGCTTCGCGCGAGCACTTGACACTTGACTGTCTACATCCACTTTATTCTCCTCCTATATGAGTTACCACGATCACAAAGAATGTTCACTCCATTGGGCATTCATTCGATACAACTTTTAACATTTACTTCCTAGTCGATTCCACTTCTTTCTTCGTCTCATTCTCTCCCCTCTGCTACACTTTTCTTTAATCAACTTAAAATTTCAGCTCATTCTATCACAATTCTTTCTGTGCAACAAAATTCACTTGAAATCAACACGATGTATACATGTGCACTATTCCGTCACTCTGTTTGCCTTCACTCTTACCATATCAAAGTTCATGTCACATTTTTCAGTCTTCTTTTTCTCACCTGATTAATTCGTTTACCTTCTATCCAACTATCATCGTTATTTGCAATGATATATCTTTCATTTCAAGTATTGTCATCTATGAGAACTACACTATTACTAACTTATTCTTTGGTACTATTAATTAAAACCTTAACGAGATTTAAAGAAAAAAAGGATAAGTGATATCTGTTGACCTTTTAAAAACTCATGGGAGCTGATAAATTCTAAATAAATGTCTTCGAATAGCAAAATATGTTTTTTTTTTTGAATAAACGAAAAGAGTAGTGAGTTCTTTTTTTCTGTTCAAAAAAAAAAGAATGTACTTCCAAAGGTTGTGCAGAGAAGAGGGCAATTTACTGCAAAATTTTAGAGTTTGGAAGTTTTTTTTTCATACAAAGCAATGATTTTGATATATTACCCAGTAACTGAAAGTCTTTATTCTTCTCACAAATTATGTAATCTTTGCTCCCTGTTCATTTTTTTGACCAAAGTAAAATCCTACAATGCTATAAAATATTTGGACATCTGACTAACAAAGCATTCATTTCGTGTCAAATTTTGGTATAGAAAGATAATGATGAATCCTGTGGGAAATGAATTTAAACCTTTGCAACGATAAAAAAATTTTATATCTCATGGGAGGAGTGAAGGAATAGAATGGAAGTAAGTTATGCGATGCTTAAGATTGAGATTAAATACTTACTACGATATGTGCTAAGGGATGAAAGACATCTGTAATTGGAAAATGCTTATGAAAATTCTCTAAACTTCTTCCAGCTTTTCTTGAAAATCTTTTACATTCTACAACTCTTAGTATTTATAAAATTAATCCACTAGCAAAAAGGCTAGTTATTTTTATTGAAGTTTTAAGGTAATTTTATTTTACATATATTTCAAGAAAAATATGATTTCGCATGAGTACAGAGAATCTCGGAGAAAAATTACAAGATATTAGTTAAATGATTGCTTCTAATCCTCTCATTGATTTTAGTTTGTTTACAGCAGTTTAATTTAACTTAGATTGCAAAGATGGAAAATGTAAAAAGTAGAATAATAATTGCAATTTTTATCTCGTCCAAATATATGAAAACAGAGCTAAAATAATTAGATTAGGGCTATTTAAATGCGTTTTTTTGAACAAGTTTATGAGGAAACAAACATACAATGGCAAATTCCTCATACAAATTGCACTTTACGTAGGAAAAGCAAATGCACTTTTGTGTCGGTCGATTTTAATGAAAAACAAGATTGTTGCCGATGGGGAGGGATGTACTGGTATTCCCGTCCCTTCTATCTCTCAATCGTAAATATTTCTTCCTAGAGGTTTTCTTTATTCAATGGGTTTTTTTTTATCATATTTTTAATGATAACACTATTGGTTGTGTACGTTATGAGCATATCTTTTCTCTCCCTCTCTCTCCCTCCTTCTCTCTCCTTCTCCCTTCAGAGTTTAACATTCTTGAAAAATTTATCTGGCAAATTTGATGAGAAATATTTTGTACTACGTCGACCAATTGTCTGTCTTTTTTCATTTCACATTCAAATCTGAATAATCACTTACTTCCTTGCAGGTTAATATAAATACAAATAAAAATCTTGATATTCAGGAATATTTAAAATTAGAAATGCTTTTTAGAGAAATAATAATGGAATATTGTGCACTTTAAATTGGATTTGGTAGCATATTTCCTTTATAAATCTAACAATTAAACACCAACAACGTCTTATAAAATGAATGCATTTTTTATAATTTAAATAAACGTTCGTAAAATAAATTCTAATTGAAAAACTAACAATAAACATAATTGGAAATGAATGCTGCAATTATTTCAGTCATAGCTCTCTCAGTTATTTCAGTAATCTGGTGAATGATAGGGTTTTACATAATGTCCAGACTTGTTTCTATTATCCCATCACTAGACTTATGTTTGTAAAATGGCACAGAAGTTTTGAAACGTATGATATCATCTAAATAGATGTTTTAGTTTTTTAGGTTCACTGTGCAAAGAATTGTTATATATCAGGAGGGATTATTTGCTGTAGTAATTCCATCAATTTCCCACCAAGGTATAACATGTTCAAATATCAGTGAAGAAATATTCTCATGAAATAGTTTCAATTTTTTATAAATTTTATAATTTCTGAGTTCGTATATCACTACCGAACTCAGAAATTATAAAATTTATAAAAATATCACATATATCGCAGCGATAACAGTAATTGTGATGAATAATAATTGTGATCTAAAAAATGCAGAAACCGCTCACTTATCACGATCATTTGTCCATTTAAAAAAACTGATATGATCAAGTTTAGTTTCTTATAATTCGATTTTATGTAAAATATCTCCTTATTCGATAAGTATATAGTTGAGATTACCTTCAAACATTGTAATAATACAAGCCACAAAATTGTTTGGAAAAAATTGGAAGCCAATATATTCTGCAAATTAGATCATGTTTGAATTGACTCCAATTGCTGTACTATAAACAATTTAGTTCGTTATAAAGTACATC